TGCTCTAAAAATTTTATACACATGATTAAGAATTTAATTTAAAAGAATAATCGAATGTAAGGTGGAAGAAAATTTACTGAAATCGATGTCGAATTTGGATTCCGATCTGAAAGAGTGCGGTTTCGGTCTCTCTTTCTGGTTCCTTGATTTTTGGCCTCGCACGGATCTTTGAACGGATCCGAAACGTCACATCATGGTCTATTTCATGCATATCAGGACCACCCAACATGCACTTTGCTTCTTCTTCTTCAACAGCGCGCGTCGTGCGCCCGACACTACGCAACGCGCCCCCAGCACAGAGGACCGCACGTAGCTCTTCTCTTCCGGTCACGCGCCACGCTTCCTTCCTCCTCCTTCTTCTTCTTCTTCTTCTTCTTCTTCTTTGGCGGCAACGCACCCGACACCCCATGCAACTTCTCTTTTCCGGCTGCGTGCACCACGCGCCATGCTTCTTTCTTTCTCCTTCTTCTCCTCCTCCTTTTTCTTCTTCTTCTTCTCCACTGCCTTGTCCCCCTTTCTACTAGGGCTTCTTTTTTTCTTTTTTTTAATCTTTATTTATTTTTTTTTTCTTTTTTTTTTCTTTTTACTGGCCTGGACCTGGGCTTCCTCCTCTCCCTTGGGCCTTGTTATTACAAGTGGGATGTACATATGGAGTTTCTTAAGATGCACTTTCCAGGAGCATCTGATCAGTCCATAGCAGATGTGTACATTGCAAACAATGGTGACCTGGAGGCTACTGTTGACATGCTGAACTAGCTAGAGGTAAATATTTTATTGGCTTCCCTATAGTTACATATACATAGTCTAACTATCTAGTTTTCTTTAGGCCATTTTTTTATCTCAAAAAAATCTTGCGGTACCTTGACTTCAGTGGTTCAACTGCATTAAGATTTTAATATTCATATTTCAACCCCTCTCAACCTTGTTTGACATTTTTTCTCCATATCAACAATATCAATTCGATTTCCATGATTTAGGTCAAAACCCTCTCTATATGTTATTTTCCAACCAGCTCTTACATATTAAACAGCAAAAGTTACTGATATTTACTTCAAATGGCTAGTGATATCTTTTGTGAGCTGAAGCAATGAAACCGAGAGTTTCTTCTTTGAACCCGTATGCAGCATCATACATACCACTGTCTAGGAGGGGGCCACAAAATCATATTGATGTTAATAGAACTCCTATGGAAGATTTTGTTGCTGGCATCGAGACTCCTTGGTGCATGCCTTGTACTAATCACACAGAGAGCAAAGTTTCTCTTGATTCTGACAGCCTTGGCAATGAGAAGCATATCAGTCCAGAAGACTTTACATAAAAAACTCCATCTGTCCCAGGTTCCTGTGGCTCTTTGATACAGAGTCCTGATCAAATGGCAGACAAGCAGATTATAGATGATGAGTGGGATGTACATATGGAGTTTCTTAAGATGCACTTTCCAGGAGTATCCGATCAGTCCATAGCAGATGTGTACATCGCAAACAATGGTAACCTGGAGGCTACTGTTGACATGCTGAACCAGCAAGAGGTAAATATTTTGTTGGCTTCCCTATAGGTACATATACATAGTCTAACTATCTAGTTTTCTTTAGGCCATTTTTTTATCTCAAAAAAAATCTTGCAGTACCTTGACTTCAGTGGTTCAACTGCATTAAAGTTTTTATATACATATTTCAACCCCTCTCAAGCTTGTTTGACATTTTTTCTCTTGCTTGTTTGATATCGCCCTATTTCTCAGTAAGTGTTTGTTTATTTTCTTATTGATCAGTAGTTTAATTTGTGATTTTATGTTTCTATCCCTTGGATATAATTTCCCATTTGATATATTAAATATTTTTATTGCATATTGATGTCATAGTGTTTTCTTTTCATAAAAGAAGCTTTATTAGGGTAAGAGGGAAAGACATCTTCCTAGTTCAAAGAATGGAGGGTAAGACATCCTTCTAGTTATGACAAGCTATAATGAGCAAACAACAAAATAGAGAGACACAATATATATAGAATGTGGGATCCTAAGTGCCAAAATAATAATTTCCAATACAATGGGGTCGCAAATAGCTATATCCTAGTATTTTTCATGTACCTTGACCCATAGTGTTGCCAAAAAGTCATTCTCTCCCATAGCTCATTGAATGCTGTATACCGGTCTTAAAAGCTTTTCCAGAGTCTGGCAAGTCATAGAATACATAGACCTGAAAAATTGCCTCTTGCCACAATGACTTCGCTTCCTTTCTAATCCCATTCCCTTCGATGTAAACATCCAAGGAGCTCTCAACTGGTGGAGATTTAACCCACTTAATGCCAAAAAGACTAAAAAATTTTGTTGAAATCTTCCAAGCTATCTCGCAATGAAGAGATAAATGGAAATGTGTTTCTCCTCCTCTAAAGCATAGAACACTGATGTTCAGGGTAATGCAGATATTGACGTCAGAATGATAGGAAGAACTTCACTTTTCTGGATATCTTATCCACTGCTTTCTTTGTAATGTTCACTTCTATCTCCCAACAATACTTCTTTTTCTATTAAAAAAAATGTTAGGAAGAATGATTTCTTATGACGAGAATGGCAATTTGCTAGTCGGCCTTTTGAAGTTGGAATAGTAGGAAATGATTTTTCTGTAACCAATAGCGTTTGGTTAGATAGGAACTGATTTGATAAATACTGATAACTCCCGGATGAAGTATTAGAAAAGGCAATTTACCAGCTTGCCTACCTTTTGCTTGAAATGACTATTCTTTTGTATTTTATCATAATCAATCTTTTTACGACTTTTAGATTGAAACTTAATTTACTGGAAATGTTCAGTTCTTTTGGAAATAATTTCATGAACGTTGGAAAAGCCAATGAATTTTTTTAATTTCTTCACCTTCTTTGAACTTCTCTCTATATTTTCTTAAGATATCAATTTTTGTTTTTGGCAAAACCTGTCTTAATCTCATTTAGGCTCTAGTCCTGGTCAATCCTTAGCTGGAGTGATCAACATGTTCTCTCGAGAGTTGTTGTGTAGAATTATTTTAAAGGCTCTCTGAGAAGTTACATTCCTACCATAACTTATTATATTGTATTTTCTTTCTTGTTGATCCTATGAAATGGACTGTAGATTTACACTACTGAGTCTACTAAAACTCTTCCAGACACTTTGGATATTGGTGATATATGGGAATCTGGGACTTCCACAACATCCACTTTGAAACTGAAGAATGTAGCAGGTGAAATCTTCATCTGGTTCCTCAGACTCAGCTGTTGCCTCCTGAATGACTTTGTGAAAAATACTTCCAATTTGGATTTTTGTCTGTTACTGTGCTATGGATGAAAGTGGAGCCTTTCTTATGCTTATACCATAATCACAATACAGTAAACTATATGCAAATTATAATCTAATTAATCTACATCATATGGTAGGTGATTCAAACTTCTTTTCTCTTCTATTTGTCTCTTGCGTCTTATTGCTCAGTTTGGGAGAAATTCTTTCAAAACCAAGCAAGCTTGTGGCTATTTGGGGGACAATTTTTCTCACTTCTTCCTCGTCCTAGACTCTTCCTAGTTGCCTTTCTAGGACTACAGCTTCCAATATGAACATTATTATTAGAGGAAGTGTTATTATGAAAAAAGACTAAAATACTTTCTAGCTTGTGTTACACAAATTAGAGAAGACAATATATTAAGTCTTTCTTAAGGTCATGCCGATATTGTTGCTTGCTTCAACCAATGTCTAAAACTCAGCCAATAACCAAGGTAAATGGAGCAAGAAAATTCACCCAAGCAACTCTAGTAAATTTTGGTGAATTTATGTTTTTTAAATTTTTTTAGTTTTTATATTTTTATACATTATTACTTACTTAAGTGTATTGTGTGATTTATTTAATATGATTAAATGAATTACATGTAATACTTTAATATTACATTATATAACGTCTCAAGTTACACACTACCACCAATAATATCGAAACATTGGTATTTAAGATTTTAAGAACTGGTATTTTAGATTCAAAGAGTTGTTAGAATCGTAATACTTGAGCTAGTTATAATCCAATGATATCAAAGCACATACTAAGTTGGTAATTCTGAATTGATGAATATTATAATATTCTAAATTAAAAAATTATTTATAACGTTACAAATAAAATATCAAAAATTTGAATGATGGAAATTATGATAACTCTATCTCCACATAAAAAAATACAGATTGTTAGACTCTACATAACGGCTCTAAGTCAAATATTATCAATAATTTGTGTTTGAGTTTTTTTAAAAACCAATTATTTAGGTTCAAAAAATTATTGGGTTAATAGTGTTGGGTCTATTGGATCACAAATGTGATATTTCAATGTCACATTTAATAAATATACATACGATTATTGAGTTCTTATAAAACTCCATATAACGAGCATAAATATGGTTTGCTTATGACATAAATATTTGCCATACATTCAATATATGTGATATGCAAAAACTTTTAGTTCCTTTATACATGTCCCAGGCCTATTTCACATCATATATACTTATTTTGGGCACCGGAGAAGGTACAACTATTACGTTGAGACCTGATCTGCCATGTTGCAGCTCCTGTACCATGCCATGAAACCAAATTTATGGAGAGTTCTTGGGTGAATTATCTGATAATCATACTCAGCCATCTAAACGTGTATATATATGGTGTGCAAGGGAAAATTATTTGGGGAAATAAACAATCTTTTACTTGTAATTTTTCTGTTCCCTCTGCCTGTAAATTTTTGGTTGGAACTTCTAATGTTAACTGTGATGACATCCGGAACAAGATCTTGAAGGTTCGTGCACCAAAGAGTTGTTTACTTTTTTATGCTTCCGCACTGTAATAATAACATTCTGAATAATAATGAAATAACTCAAAAGCTAACCCTCGAGAATGTGGCAAAGATGCTACTAAACTGCATGTAAAAACTGTATGAAATGAGGATTCGAGGTAGCAAAACCAGATTGCCACTTGATCCACGAAAATAAAGAAAGGAAGAAAGAAAGAAGAGTATTAACAAGCAACCTTCATTCAGTGAATTGCAAACTCCATCCATGACAACTGCACAAGGTTACTCAAGGAGCTTCTGACCAAACATAAGCTACAAAGCCCCAGGCTTTGAGAAAATTGGACACCAGAAGCATACAACTATACAATCTTAGGTAGGAAAATTGGTACTGAAGTATCAATATTTCCCACCTTCATACAATCTTAGGTACGAAACCTATTACTGAAGTATCAATATTTCCCACCTTCAGCAAAAAGGAAGGCTCCGCTTTCTTCCATAGCAAAGTAAAAGACAAAAAACCAAATGGAAGTATTTTTCACAAAGTCATTCAGGAGGCAACAGCTGAGTCTGAGGAACCAGATGCAGATGCACCAGTTTCACCTGCCACATTCTTCAGTTTCAAAGTGGATGCCGTCGAAGTCCCAGATTCTGGGACATCACCAATATCCAAAGTGTCTGGAAGAGCTTCTGGAGACTCAGTAGCATAAACCTGCAGCATGTCATAGGATCAGCAAGAAAGAAAATAGAATACAATAAGCTGTGCTGAAAATAAACTTATCAGGAAGCCGTTAAATAATTCTACACAAAAACTCTCCAGAGAACACGTAGATCACTCCAGCTAAGGCTAAATCAGGAGGTTTTGTGATTTAGCATTAACTTACAACATTGACCAGCGCTAAAGCCTAAAGGAGATTAAGACAGGTTTTGCCAAAAAAAATTGATATCTTAAGAAAATATAGAGAGAAGTTCAAAGAAGGTGAAGAAATTAAAAGAATTCATTGGCTTTTCCTACATTCATGAAATTATTTCCGAAAGAACTGAACATTTCCAGTTAATTAAGTTTCAATCTGAGAGTCCTATAACGCAGGCTAGCAAAACTTAAATTTAAAAAATTACGACAAAATAAAAAAGGATGGTCCTTACAATCAAAAGGTAGGCATGCTAGCAAATTACCTTTTCTGTTACAAAAAAATCATTTCCTACTATTCCAACTTCAAAAGGCCGGCTAGCAAATTGTCTTCCTCGTCATAATAAATGATTCTTCCTAACAACTTTTTTAAATAGAGAAAGAAGTAGTTGAGAAAAATAGAAGTGAACATTACAAAGAAACCAGTGGATAAGATAATCCAGAAAAGTGATGTTCTTCCTAATGATCTGACTTCAATATCTGTATTGCTCTGAACATTTGGGTTCTGTGCTTTAGAGAAGGAGAAACGCATTTCCATTTATTTATTATTGCGAGATAGCTTGGAAGATTTCAACAAAGATGTTTAGTGTCTTTGGCATTAAGTGGGTTACACATCTCGACCCAGTTGAGAGCTTTTGTTGTGTATTTACATCAGAGGGAATGGGGTTAGAAAGGAAGCAAAGTCATTGTGGCAAGGAGCAAAATTTTTCAGGTCTATGGACTTTATGACTTGCCAGAAACTGGAAAATCTTTTAAGACCGGCATACACCATTAATGAACTATTGGAGAGAATGACTTTTTGGCAACACTAAGGGTCAAGGTACATGAAAAATACTAGGATATAGCTATTTGCGACCCCATTGTATTGGGGGATTATTATTTTGGCACTTCGGATCACACATCTATATATATTGTATCTCTCTATTTTGTTGTTTGCTCATTATAGCTTGTCATAACTAGGAGGATGTTTTATCCTCCATTCTTTGAACTTATTTTCCCTCTTATCTTAATAAAGCTTCTTCTTTTACGAAAAGCAAACATGATGACATCAATATACATAAAAAATATTTAATATATCAAATAGAAATTTATATCCAGGGCAGATAAACATAAAATCACAAATTAAACTACTGATCAATAAAAAGTAAACAATCACTTCTTGAAAAATACGAGGACATCAAACAAGCAAGAGAAAAAATGTCAAACAAGCTTGAGAGGGGTTGAAATATGTATATAAAAACTTTAATGCAGTTGAACCACTGAAGTCAAGGTACTGCAAGATTTTTTTGAGATTAAAAAAAGGGCCTAAAGAAAACTAGATAGTTAGACTATGTATATGTACCTATAGGGAAGCCAACAAAATATTTACCTCTAGCTGGTTCAGCATGTCCACAGTAGCCTCCAGGTCACCATTGTTTGCGATGTACACATCTGCTATGGACTGATCAGATAATCCTGGAAAGTGCATCTTAAGAAACTCCATATGTACATCCCACTCATCATCTATAATCTGCTTGTCCGCCATTTGATCAGGACTCTGTAGCAAAGAGTCACATGAACCTGGGACAGATAGTTTCTTCTTTGTAAAGTCTTCTGGACTGATATGCTTCTCATTGCCAAGGCTGTCAAAATCAAGAGAAACTCTACTGTCGCTTTGGCTCTCTGTGTGATTAGTACAAGGCATGCACCAAGGAATCTCGATGCCAGCAACAAAATCTTCCATAGGAGTTCTATTAACATCAATATGATTTTGTGGCCCCCTCCTAGACAGTGGTATGTATGATGCTGCATACGGGTTCAAAGAAGAAACTCTCGGTTTCATTGCTTCAGCTCACAAAAGATATCACTAGCCATTTGAAGTAAATATCAGTAACTTTTGCTGTTTAATATGTGAGAGTTGGAACAGAAATAAACATATAGAGAGGGTTTTGACTTAAATCATGGAAATCGAATCGCATAGCGAGGAGTAAGAGGAAATTAAATATCATAAATAAAAATAATTGAGGTTTTCAAGAAGGAATCGTGTACATTTGACAAATTGATTATCCCTATTTCACTAACTTCTTGTTTTAGCAAACATAAAAAGATAAGAAAAAATTCAAACTAACACCTGTTTTCACCTAAAAGTCCTGTAAACTCACTGTACAAAGCGTTCCAAGAAGTCCATTCAAATTATCGAGTTGCATCTATACCATTTATAAGCCATGAATCACAGAAACGATGACTCAGAGAACCTAGTAATTATATAAAGAAACCGTGAGGCAACATTCCATCCAACATATTAATCTAACCGGCCATGCCATAATCATAAGAAGACTATGATAAACAGAGATGTTGGTAAGATGAAAAAAATTGCATTTTCTTATTCATTGCAGGATTTGAATCAAGCCAAACCAGGATCTCCCCTCATTAGTCTCCATCTCTAAACTACACCATGTTCTTCCGTCACAACCAATTTCTTAAATCATGCTAAAGAATCAGTAGTTTTACCCCCTAAGCGAAGGCTAAATACTTCTTAACCACCTCCAAACCCGATGACACTACCGAATCAGGCATTTTTTTCCCTCATTATTTTTCTTGTTCTTGATCTTGTTCTTCTTATTCGTTCTCCCGCTTTCACAGGAAATCAATTTAAAATCAAACAAAAACAAGGAAAAGAAAGCATGCAGACGATCGACAAGAACACTACTGACGGTCCGACCGGATGATGCTATTATCTGAATGCAGCGGATAAAATTCATGATAACTAACAACAAACATTTAAACGAAAACTCAGACCGAACAATAATTTGCAGAAAAACAATCAAGACGAATTATTAGATGATCGTGATGTTAAAAGATGCATAAATGAAACACCAGATTAAAAAAGAAAAGACGAAAGAAACAGAAAGATTATTTTACCAGGAAACCCTAGTTTTCAAGATCGCAGAAAAACGAACGAAAAGGAATGATCGAAGAGAAGAGAGATCTGCGAAAGGGAATGAAAAAGGAGGGCAAATGAAAGCTAATAATGGAGGATTATTTTTGAGTAACATGAAATGAAAGAGAGGACGTTTACTCCTAATTAGTGCAAAGGAGGAGACTTTATTAGCTTATCCTGAACCGGAAATTGACTAGGATCCGTTTAATTAAATAATAATAACAACTTTTTGCAGTTTAAACATATGATTTTTTGTGATAATTTAATTAATTATGATTTTTTTTTTTGTACTAAAAAATACTAAGCATAAAAAAAATTAAAAAAGACAACATCTAAATATTACACATTTTAAGTCAGAAGAACTCCGTAATATCTCTTTTAAGAATGTTCAAAATTTTCGTAGGAGAGTGTTGTAGAAAATGTAAAACAGTAGGTCGGTCAAAAATATGATTTGTCAATATTTCATATTTGAATTTCATTATTTTATAATTTTATTATTTTAATAAGTTAAAAAAATATTTTTGCATGTTTAAGTTTATAAATCAGATTAAAACAAATTCAGATTATTAAGGGAAAAAATTAAAAAAATAATAATGGTTTAAAATCTCACATAAAAACTATAAGATTTGAATTGTAATAAAACTATATTATATAAGGTGAAAATATAAATTTTACCAAAAATAAAATCTTTTTCAACTTGATTACTGATATTTTATGTGTGATTATTTATTTAGTTCTTTGGAATATTCACTTTAAATTAGTCTCATAATATGATTATGCCACTTATTTTAATAATTTGTTCACGTGTTGGACATATTTTATTTTTTTTATTTATTACTTTATGTTATAATAATATAT